AGAGAGAGAGAGAGAGAGAGAGAGAGAGAGAGAGAGAGAGAGAGAGAGAGAGAGAGAGACCAAAACACGGTAGGACCCAACAAAGGGCTTGTTGACAATTTCTCGGGGCTGGATATGTTGACAAACTTACTGAGCACTTCATTGCAGGACCCCCGTTGGGGGCACATTGGCAATTTGGTCGGTAGTGATGGGGTTATTGCACAAGTTCACTCTGTCAGGACTTAATTGAGGGGAGAGCGCTATTTGGGTACTTGTTGACAAATTTGTCAAAGATGTGGCGAGCTTATGGCATTTTTCGGAATTCCCCCCCCCCAAAAAGAGGATGTTCAGGCATCAAAGATAATTGTATCACTGCTTCTGTCAACAGAGAGAGATCAAACATATTGAAAGACTGGGAGGTCTATCATCTTGTGCCGGACAACGTACAACACTCTACCCAGCGGTGTGTCTAAGAGGTACACAGGCATAGCTAACAATAAACAGATCATGAGTTCAGATTCTTATGGACACGGTAGGGTTAACGGCCCTCAGGAGGAGGAGGAGGAGGAGGAGGAGAAAGGGGAGGAAGAGGGAGAGGAGGATGCAGAGGGGGAGGAGGGAGAGGAGGAGGACACACACCTTGAGTTTGAGCTCGTTGTACACTCGTTTTACTTCATCAACATGGAATCTCTCTGGCTTTCCATAATTCGCCTAGTGAACATCAGCATTCAGGAAATTTAAGCAGGTGGGCAAGACAACTGTTAGGACACTGATTGTAAGTGGACAGGCTGAGAAAGTTTATTACTACCATCTTCATCCGACAGAATGCCTAGTCTTTTTGGCGTATCTGGATTCTGGACAGAAAAGTCTGCCGAATACATATATAATGACCGGGCGTTCTATTCAGGTGAAGACAGCAGGGAAAAGTTCTGCGATACAAGAAAGAGGCATAACACTGGGCCATTAAGAACTGAGTCACAGACCTGCCTTAGCCAGAGGGCGAAAAAAAAAAAAAAAGAAAAAGAAAAAGAAAAAGAAAAAAGCCAGAGGGAGAAGCCCGAATCTCAACATATGAGTGGGTGCTTAGGCTCAGGATTGAGCTGCAAACTTTGGATTCAAGGCTGGAGAAGAAAGGCGAGCACCACCAGAGGAGAAACCAAAAACAAAAAAAGATGAGCATTACCAGCTCTCAAGTAATTGGACCTTGAGTGACTCACAACGCTGGAAAACGAACTGGTGGTTTACATTCAATCTCCCTCTTACCCAATCTTATGATCCTATAATATCTATAATATTCTATATCCAATATTTTCATATAGCTTTCGAATATCCCAACACGCAGACCACAAGCCATACTTCCCTACACCCTAGTAACAATATGGAATCGTATGAGGCATTTGGCAGTCAATGGGGCAGAACAACACGGACATTATTGTCACCCTCGGATCTGCTCTTGTCGGACGGCTCTCTAAGAGCAATAAACCAACGGACTCGTCGGAAGACAGAACGGCCCTTCGGGCCCATTCCTCTTTTCTGGTCTCATTGCCCCCCCCCCCCCCCCCCCTTTCCCTTTCGCTAAAGAGTCAAGACACAAACATGCTTGCTTGCCGGTGCTAAGCAACTGGACTGTTGCCCCCCAGAATAGAATGGGGCCATTGTCTTATTAAAAAAAAAAAAAAAAGTTGAGTGAAAAAACCTACCAAGAACTCAGAAACATCTTGCTTCTACTCAGAGACACCAAGGTCTGCGGCATACGCCACCACCACAGGGGCAATCAACGAACTCACCTCAATTCGGCTTGTTTGCTCCTCGTTAGCCGACTCCAAAGCTTTCACAACAAGCCATGAGCATTTGCTATCTTCAATATCCGTCCCCACCTGGTCGGTACCAAGCACTCACCAAGCAAAAAAGAAAACCGGTTGGATAAGCTGCACGTATATGAAGTTATGAACCTGCAGTAAAAAAATGCTGCAAAACAACAACAGAACTTACTCCTCTCCCCATTCTCCCCCCTTCAAGAACTTCCTTATGATTTTTTTTCCTTATGATCGATCACCTTCTCGTCCTTATTCAATTCCTCATGCGCCGATAAAGGTGTTGAGATGCACACATTCACATGCAACTTGATGCAAGTAATCGGTCACATCTGGTAAAATTGCAATCATACAGAGTAGATATATTATCTATCACGGCCCCTGTGCACGCACGGATGACATGGAGTTAAAAAAAAAAGGTCACATCTGGTAAAATTGCAATCATACAGAGTAGATAGATTATCTATCACGGCCCCTGTGCACGCACGGATGACATGGAGTTAAAAAAAAAGCCGCAGACCCCACATTGTGAGACTCCATGAACTAGAAAGTCGAAAGTAAAAACGGATGATACCAACGGGCCTAGTTCAGTTGGTACACCCATGAACTGCTGAGATACAGATCCAGGTTCCAAATGAGATGCAAGCACATGCAACCAATATAATACTGAGTTACCTTGAGGCAGGTCAGCAGCTCAATGATGATCTGAAAACGGATCTTATGCCCCATTTTTAAAAAAAAGAAGAAAAAAAAGGGGAGAGAAGGCACACCTTGCATGACAGGAAGAGAAGGGGTAGACTGCTGGATAGAGATGACGAAACAAGAGGGTATTCTGAAGCGGGCTTTGAGTACAGCTCAAGACCGCTGAGGTAGTGCAGGGTGGTGTAATATAGGCAAGAGGAGATAACTAACTGAAGTGAAGCGCGTTGGGTTGGGTAGAATTGGGTGGGGTATGTAATATGGTAGGGTAGGGTAGGGTAAGAATTAAACAGGGTGTCAAACTCAGAGTTACGCAACTTATGTTCGTCTGTGATCTTAGGCATGCTCAACTGTTGTGCCTTAGGAGCTTCCTTGGGACTCAGATGATCGACTGTTGTGCTGAGGAGCTCTACCGGGAGCCAGTAAGGGAAGGATGGTGTTTGCACAGCTGGAACCATCAGCTAATCGCTCTTTTTTTTTTTTTTTTTTTTTCCCAGAAAGGTTGTGTAGGCTGAGAGGTATAGGCAGGCCCTCCTACCCTGACGGCCAGTAATATAACCATACTCCCACGACTAGTAATCGCTCTTGTTAATCTCCATCAGATCACAAATTGCACAGACATCTGGAGCTAAACACTGCATCCCACATCTGTACAAAGCTGGAACCATCAGCTAATCGCTCTTTTTTTTTTTTTTTTTTTTCCCCAGAAAGGTTGTGTAGGCTGAGAGGTATAGGCAGGCCCTCCTACCCTGCCGGCCAGTGCTATAATCGCCCTCCCACGACTAGTAATCGCTCTTGTTAATCTCCGTCAGATCACAAATCGCACAGACATCTGGAGCTATGCACTGCATCCCACATCTGTACAAAGCTTAGCTGCTGCACACATGGTTGGAGAAGGACGAAGATAGAGATAGACAGAGTAATAGTGCTTGCTATGTTGTTGTTGTTGTTGCTGTTGTTGTTGTTGTTGTTGTTGTTGTTGTTGTTGTTGTTGTTGTTGTGGTTGTTTTATTACACGCTATGTCAATAGAGGGTCACAGGTATTGCACCGGTTTCTGGCAGTCCGAGAGTGGACAACTCAGGCTTATTGTAGTCTCTCTCTACTTTCACGAGGAGGAAATATTCTATCCAATGGTGGTTTAGGGCATCGTCTGTGATCGTTGTGGCGTTGAACAAGTGTTCTTAGAGAGAGAGAGAGAGAAATGGGACGGTTATCATTCACTGCGGTCGGTTGTTCCGTGGTCCAAAATTCTCCAAATACTATTGGCAATTTGGCAGCTGATTGATGGGAATCGAGAAGAGTATGTAATCTGCATGCACAGTTAAAGAGTGTTATAAAACAACCACCACCTGTGTGCGTTCCTACGGCGCCTTTCTGAACCTGACTACCGTCTTCACCCGAATAGAACACCCGGTAATTATCGCCGTTTCTGGGCTGAAAGTTGTGCCAAATACAGCTATAATGACCGGGCGTTCTATTCGGGTGAAGACGGTAGTTCACTCAGTCTTCAACTTCGTCAGCAGTTCTGTCCACCTCAGCAGTTTATGGATGTCATCATGTCAGTGAGCAAGTGAGCTGCGCGCGAAGGACTGGTCCGTTTATGCACCACCCGTGTTTCGATCGTCTCTCCATGTATAGCATCAAGCCGGCAAACGCAGTGGGCATGAATGAGAATGCAAGGACGCCGTGCATGGTTCCGTCTTCTGGCCGGTGATGGGCTTTCCATGTGTAGCATCAAGCTGCCGCCGCAATGGGCGCAGGAACGCAATGGCCGCATGAATGCGAGCATATCGTGCATGGTTTTCGTTTTTTGCAGGTCACGGGCTTTGTGTCAGCTTATGCGTGTGTGTTAATTGCAGTTTCCACTCGATGGTTGTAATTGCAGTTGGCTGGAGAGGTGAGGAAGAATTGCAGTTGTATACGAACACAATAAGCAGTGTACGTTTGCCATCGGGAAAAAAAATTATAATAAAAAAAAATCAACTCAGTTCATAACTTCATTTCATTTTTTCTTGTCAGCCATGCCAACCAAGGTGTTGACAAAATCCGCAGAGTCGATTTCAAATTTTGAAATTTCAATTCAATGCGTTTCCTCTTCTTGTCAGTTCTTGAGGATGTTTTTTACTTCGAAAAGATCGCACAGTATGTTGATAAAATGTCAGAAAGTTGCAGCAACGATTATTTCCCCCTGGAGCGAGTGACAGATCAAGAGCACAACACAAGCTCACGGGCAAAAGAGTTGGCGGACAAAAGAGCACCCCTCACGACCACCATTTACCAAATTACCACATGCTACAACAAGAAAAGGGAAAAAAAACTTCAGAAGACTTTAAAAAAAACAAAAAAAACTTAAATTTGTTTCCGACAGACAAACCTTGCCAATGTAGTCCGGGTCACCATAGCAGTCCAGAAAATCGTCCTGCATGTCGAATGCCAGGCAGTTGGACTCAGTTTCATGCAAACAAGAATGTAGAATTTCTTTTGGTAATAGGCAGTTGGACTCAGTTTCATGCAAACAAGAATGTAGACTTTCTTTTGGTAATACTACGTTTACTAACTTTTATAACAATTTGAGTATAATAATACTATAATTTATTTATTTTTTGAATAAAAAAGTTAGAAATTTTCAAAAGCCTCTGAAAGAAACAAGTGAAAAATAAGAGGGGAAAAAAAAAAAAAACCCTTTGAAAAAGTCGGAAAAACAAAGGCTAGAAGAGTCGGGCTCACGCTTCCTGAAAATCAACCACGAAAAAAAGGCTGAATTCATTCCAGTTTGCCACATCGCCAACTCATACTTCTGCTGAGGCTCTCACTCAAAATGAACAAGACGCTCAGCAGCGAGATCCAGGTTGATCGGGTCAATTATGATTGATTAACATACATAAATGTCTGCCATACAAAACGACTTGCGAGCCTGCCGTACAAGTCCGAAAATGGCTGCCAAAAAAACAAATCCGTACACGGGTTACTTCTGCACAGCAGCCGCGTCGTGGTCGCTGGAGTTCCGCAATCCCCAGAGAGTCTCCTAGAATGACTGAAAAAACATGACGACGTTTAAAGCGCCATTCCAAAGCCCCAGCTTTTGCAAAATTGCTTCATGCGCTACAGCTAAAACTTCGCAGGCTCAGGCGGCGCCACCAGGCGCGGGTGTACCCGTGGTTTCACACCCGAGAAAGCCTGTTCCCTTCTCGGAATGTGAAATTCCTGTACTGCAGCATACGCACGGGTACACACGGGTACACACGGGTACACAGTAATGTTTTTTTGCCACCTTTCGCCACCGGGATCCGCTGACACCAGTTCCTCAACATGCTGCAGCAGAACTACCGTCGTCACCCAAATAGAACGCCCACTGGGCACCAGATACAAGGGGAGGGGGGGGGGGGCGCAACCAAAATTAGGATGGAAGCTCACTGACGGAACCTGTGCGCACGGCAATTTGACACTGGAAGCCTCACTGGGACCGGCTCCCACACGAGAGTCTAACATTAGTCAAAGCTCTGACTGAAGCACAGGACTTAAAGGTAGACGGGAGCCCTCAGACAGGGTATATTAAGTAGAGTTAAGGCAAAAGGTTCAAGCTTGGAGGACCAGCCTCGCTACTGTAGAACTTCAAGGGTTAGTCTACAAGGCTAGAAACTGGAGGACCAGCCTCGCTACTCTAGAACTTCAAGGGTTAGTCTCATACATGCAAGCGCACGCCGTGCGGGCGGTTCCCTACGTGCGGCGCACGCGCCCAACCGATCCCGTGCGGCGCACGATGTGTGCGGAGAACGACCCGTCACCCCCCTCAGAAAAAAAAAAGGCCGGGGTCAAAACGGTGCGTTTGAGGCCCCCCGCCAAAATTATAAGCGAGATGAATTTCTTTTTTTCAGGAGTACTTCCTCACCTTGCTCCTCCTCCCCTTCCTCATCCTCCATGTCTCCTCCTCCCTTCTCCTTTTCGTCTCCTCCCCCTCCTCCTCCTCCTCCTCCTGTTCGTCCTCCTCCTCCTGCCCTTCCTCATCCTCCTTGTCTCCTCCTCCTCCTCGTACTTCCTCATCTTCAATGCCTCCTCGTCTCCTTCCCTTCCTTGTGTCCTCCCCTTCCTCGCCGTCCATGTCTCCTCCTCCCCCTTGTCCTCCTCCCCCTGCCCTTCCTCTTTTCCCTCCGTCCATCTCTTCTCCTCCCCCATCTCGACTCCTCCTCCTCATCGTCCTCGCTATCCTCCTCGTCCTCCTCATCCACATCCTCCTCCTCCTCTCCATATCCCCCTCTCCTTGCCATATCCCCATCTTCCTGTCATACGCCCCCCTTTCCCCCTCCCAAAAAAAGATAAAATAATAATAATAAAAATAAAAAACCTGCACGATTCCGCACAGGCACCCCCCGCACGGAACTCAGTACGGAACTCTGCACGAATGTGCGGCTCGTGCGGTTGCAAGTATGGTTAGTCTACAAGGCTAGAAACTGGAGGACCATAGGAGGCTGGTCCTCGGCCTTCAATTTCAATATATTCATAAAATACTTGTTCAAAAAAAAAAAAAAAAAAAAAAAACGGTGCCCCGTCCTTATAGCTGCATCTGGGCTGGCAAGTGCCACTAACACAGCTATAATGGGCCGCGCGTTCTATTTGGGTGAAGACGGTAGCTTTCGTTTTCCACAGCGATCCTTGACCGGGCACTCTATTCGGGTGTAACGACGGTATCCCATCTTTGACTGGGCACTCTATTCGGGTGAAGACGGTATCCCTAAAGCTTCATGCAACACACCAAACACCCCATACAGTGGCCAGAGCAGCAGCAGCAGCAGCAGCAGCAGCAGCAGCAGCAGCAGCACCGAATGGAGGAGCAGCAGTAGGGCTGCACCTGAAAACTATCGACTTTGGTGCTTTACAAACAGAAAAAAAAAAATGCAGGGCAAACTGTGACTATTTTAGGAAAGAGAGGCTAACAGACAGATCAGCCACATCGCCCATGGCTGCAATTTATAGTAACTTTATAAGTTTATACCCTAAACCTGCCCGCTACGGTAAGGCGGCGAACCATGGGGCAGACTCTGAGCTTTCCAAGTGAAAAAAAAAAAGAGAAAGGATTAGGATTAGGATTGCCGTCACCTGGGCTTGAAAGTATGTGCCCATTTGTACAAGGATGCCATTGGCAGTCGCAAACCGCTCTTGGTCCTTTTCCCCCGCCAGAACCATCGCACAGGCAACCTGAGTCAAGCAGTCGGACATGCCAACCCCACATCATGATGGTGATCAGCCCTGCATACAATCTTCTTATCAATTTGAAATTTATCCAGTTATGAACAGGCAACAGGGCTCATCTATTTCGAATGCGCATGGTCTCATCGCTTTGAAAGATATAAAAAAGAAAAGTCATGAAGACATAGAAGGTCAAAAAAAAAAAAAAAAAAAAAAAAAAAAAAAAAAAA